TGTCATTGCATAAATATTTCCATGTATAAAATATAGGAAATGCTTCTTTCAGCATTTCTAAGTGAGCTGTATGCTGCCTTTGACAAATGGTATTGTACCTGCAGAGCTGTACTCATAATAACTGTTGTTATCCATCTTGACAGTTCCTGCCCATGGCTTTCTGTCATCTTTCTCAAGGGTTTAATGGCTCTGTGGTGAAATCTTGGGTGCCAGCTTCTGAAAAGCTTGGGAAAAGAAAGATGACAAATATTACCTGCCAGTTAAAGAGGCAAAATGTTTAAGGCACATGAATCCATTAAAGATCTGATTAAAAACCAGTGCACTACCTAATTCTCAGAAATGTATACAGGTGCCCACTACCACTGAACTAATGTAAGGTGACAATTAGATACCCAAATGGCTTTAAAGAATCTGCATCTGAGAGCTCTCCCTCTCTAAGCCCTAACAGGGAGAGCAGCATAATGAATAAATGACTTCAGAAAAACATTCCTGGAAGCACCTAAACTGACTAAGGAACATTTGCCCTATTTTCAAAGGGCATGTTTGTCACTGTGCATCTTCTACACTAAGATACTTTTGGTAAGACTGCCCTGGGCCCCCTGCCCAACCTGGAGCAGCCCACCACGCTGTAGGCCTGAGCACTAGCTCATTTCATGTACATTTGCATTTGGCTCTTCAGAAATTATCCATGGATATTCAGCTTGGCAGGTGTTTCTATTTCAGTACGGCTTCAGTGCAGAGCGGCTGGGGATGCTGAGGCTGCCTGGCATGAGCGGGAGGCAGAGCAGAGGCTGGGCCTGCCCTCAGTGCCCTGGGGGCTTGCCTGTGCTGGGCTAAGAGGGTGCCTTGGGACAGCTGGGTCCCAAACTAAATTTCTAAGTTTTAACCGGGCTTCTTCTCATTTTAAAAACTTGGTAGGGCAGTGAAACGGAATGCCCGTGGCAGTGGGGACCAGCGGTGGGCAGACCCCGCCCTTCTGTGGGGGACGGTCTCCTTCCCTCAGCCCTCGGGAGGAACATTGCCGCAGAGGCCTGAGGAATTTTAGGAGCCAGAAAAGAAAAGCTCCCAGGCACCAAGTGAAGTGAGTGTAACTTACTGCTGTGAAGTAACTCTGGCCTTTGTGGAAAATGAGGGAGCACCGGAGCCAGTTGCTTTTCCTGCGGCCTGCTGTGCTCCCGTCCACTGTGTGGCTCTGGCCTGCAGCGTGCAGGGGCTGACTTCTCCTGGGACACTGCCCAAAATCCTGCCATCTTGTAAGTGTCCCCAGAAAAGTCTTCCAGAAACTTGGTGTGGGCCTGAGAGGCTGCTGCTGTACGAGTCTAGATTGTGTGACATTTTCAGATGACAAAAGACCTTGAAGGACAAAAATGTGGAAGGACACCAAGCAGAACAAGTGGGTGTTATAAACAATTATGGTAATTAGTCTACTTTTGCATAGGAAAAAGTGTTGAGGGAATGTTTTAAATGGACAGCTAATTCTGCAGCTACTTCTGAGGAAGATTATTCCCAATTATTCTCTATGATACTCTAAATACAGAATACTACTAAATATAGAATTTAGTCAATGCAAAACTGTGAAAGCAAGAAACAGCACCATTTGCAGTGGAAGAAAAATACTGAGAATGTTTAAGCTTCTTTTTTCATCATACAAGAGGAAACAGTACTTCTGTTTACATGGTAAAAAAGAGCTGGAGTGCAGTCATTAAAAGTACTGAAAAAGAACATTGATTTCCAGCTCTGCTCTTCACCCAGTATGTGAGTCTAGACTCATGCCAATCTACTAAAACCAGTATTTTTTCTGGAAATCTGAGATTGTAGCAAAAGCTTTTCCATTTTATACTTTTTAGACCATTTTAAAATAGAAGCAAGTGACCTTATTTATATATTAAAAATGGTACACTTAAATAAAAAAATAGCCTGGCTTGCTTAGAAAGAACTAGACATCTTAGTGATTGATTTAAAAAAGCTATTTTCTTCTATTTGTTTCAGAAAGAAAGTGGATTCACATCTGATTTCCTACTTCTATTGGTCAAATGCACATGAGTTACAGTTACTCCTCATTGTAAGGGTATGGAAATATCATGCTACTTTTGATAGCACGTCAAATACTTCTCATACAGTATTTTTAAATTTATGTGGTGTATAGATGTCAAAGTCAGCAAATCAAAGGAAAATAGGAGATATATGAGGTATCTTGACTGCAGTGTTCTGGAGACCTGTGACAGGACCAACAAACTGTGAAGCCGTTTCCTGTAACACAGTGCAGCCATGTGCTCTGACTGCATATAAAAATCAGGGAGTTAAGAATATCAGAAATTATTTAAAAATACAACTATAAAATAATAAGGTTGTTTTATGATAAGGATTGATGATCTTGCTGACATATGCTAGTGTGAAGTTTGAATTCATGCACGCTGAATTAATTCGTTTTTCAATACTAGAGAAATCCCAGGGGTACGGAGTAGGAACTGTTTTGTTGTAGTGCTTACACTTGATTTATAACACTATAATGTATCTGAATTCCTATTTTGGAATATACCTAATACATACATGCATTAATTGACTTAGAAGAAGACAGATGGAGGATAAATAATAGGAGGGAATACAATGAAATAAAAACACAATTCACAGTGTAAATGTCTTCAACAGGTGAGAAGATTTTTGTTTCCTTCAGTGTAATACTGTTAGAAATGTAGAGTACATAAAAGAAAAGACAAAATACTGCATTAAAAAAAAAATCCAGAAAAATTTAAACACTGAATTTAGGCTTTTGGGATACCAGCAGTTGTCTTCTTCCCAGACAACCATTTATTGTACATGAATTTGACACCCCTGTCACAACTCCCTCCCCAAAATACCCACTTGAGAGGCATTGAATACAGTGATGGGTAAGGGTTGGACAACAAGAAAAACCAAAACCTTAACAGAAACTGCTTCCTGTCATTTTGACTCCAGTTGTTGTATTTTAACTTGTACAAATTCTGTGTATTGTAATTTCAGCTGGCAAAATGTTATACGGGAAACTTAACTGAATATATTTCTGCCTGTTATAACATTTGGCAGCAGTTCACACCTGAAATAATAAGACTCTGAGTTAGAAAGTTCTGAGGGAAACAGACTCTACTGCTTCCTCTGTAAGAACCACTTTGGTCTAACACTTCTCTGGCCCAAGTCTTATTCAAGGGTACATGCTGAGCCCCTGGGCTAGGAGCTGCTCAAGGAACAAATCTAGTAGTAGTTTGTTTTGCAATGCCATTTGAGCCCAAATCTCACTACATGCCTTGGATTTCTGTTTTTCTGAGCCTAATGTTAGAAGGCTAGAGCTTGGACTTGAAGGAAAGAGGTTTTTACAGATTGTGTATTCTTCAGAGCATTCTTCTCTCGGTAGTTCCCCTTCCAAAAAGTGAGTTTGAGGGATCCTGTGCTACCTGATTCTGTGAACTAAATTCATTTTATTACCTTTCCTGTGACAGCTTCTGACACTGTGCTAGTTTTAGCTTTAAATCTCAAAAGCATTCCTTTCCCACATACTTCCATGGTGTATTTCATATACAGGTGAAACTGTAAGACAGAAAGAACAGGGTTGTGTCTGGCAGCATGTCAAATAACTCCTGGCAGCAGAATGGAGAACCTATTTAGGCAGGAATAGAAGGATCTTGGCATTAGGATTCTGATATGATGAAGCTAATGGCTTAAGCATTTGGATTAATAACTAATTAATGACAAGACAAAATCTTTCATCAAATTAGTGTTTCTCTATGCTCCCCTGGGCCATATCCTGCATGTTCCAAATCAGCATAGAGGGCAGTAACTTTTTTGCAATGTATAGAGCACAAATAAAAATTGTTGGCAGCAGTCCAGAAGTTCAATGAAGTACAATGACTCAGCATTTAGGTTACACATAGGATTTATTATTTTCTGTCATACAGAAATCAACTAAGAATCTTCAGTATGTAGCATGAGGAAGAAAGCCTGTTGGACTATGCAATCGTACAGATTCTGGAAACAGAAGACTGTGTTCACAAGGAGTCATTTGGAAATATGTTTACTTAGGGCTCAGCTAATTATTTAGGTTTGAAAAGCAAACGGGTGGCAAACGTGCAAGCATTTGGTTTGAGAGCTTAACTCCCCCTTTCCCTCAAGACTGAGTGGTCAAAATATTCTAGGATCATAAAGCCATGGACTACACGCAGGGACTCAAACTCTTCTCCAAATGCATCCCATTACACATATGTAGGATTAATCTTGATTACTAGAACATGATAATCCAGAAAATAGAGATTGATGTTTCCTTCTCTAACACAAAGATACAGGAGGACACTTTGTTGACAAGTAGGAGGTTTTGATTTTTGATTTACAGGTGGGCTTCATGTTCATGGACATGAAAATTATCTCATTCTATGAAGGTAACAAAAACTTTTTGCACTGAATCTGACATGTACACGTGGTTCATCCTATTTATACTGATTTTAAGCACATTGATATAATTCTACTGAGAGGCAGGATACCATGCCACACTAAAAGAGGGTTCTAAAAAAAAGAAATTAAATTGTTTCATTAAACACAAGCCTAAGAAAATTACACAAATGACTAAATAAAGATTGCATAAATGACAATGCTGTAGATTTAAGTAAATTGATGGGGTCAGTCTCAAAGCTGGCTTATACAGTAAGAAAGTAAGTTACATGAGCAAACATTTTACTTGGGCTACCAGTCTTTCTGTTCAGACACTTACAAATTTGGATCTGATAAGACTCACACTATTTTTGGTGGGAGCTGAGAAAAAAAAGTCACTTCTGCTTTTGCGTGCATAAAAATAAAACATGAGGGACATACAAAACCTATTTTGACCATTGATGTCCTTGTTAAATATATCTAGTTACTGTGTTGTAGTCAATCCCTCCAAAACATTGAGGCTCCAGTTACTGAAGATCTAATCAGTATTAATATTTTACTATGCAATAGCAGAAGATCTTTTGTTGCACTTAAACATAAAACATACAAGCTAGGTTTCTTAGGACTTCGATTTCTCTAATGGAACAGTCTTCTGAGCTGGGAACTTCACCAATAAATCAAGGAGAACAGGGAAGCAACTTAATGGGATTCCATTACTAATTATTTAATACTTTAACTGCATCCATATGGTTCATTTGGATTAGAACCTCAT